ATCACGTGGCTTGTAAGCAGCAGAGTTGGGAAAGACATGGATGTACATAGAACAATAATTGATCGTGGTAGACGTGCTAACGATTCGAGCTGAGCCGAGTCAAATTTTAAGTGTTCGTTAATGTTCATGAACAAGGTTTGTGTTCGTTCGTTAAGCTTTCGAGCTCGTTCGTAGTGTTTGAGCTTGATTCGTTACAAACTTTTGTTGTTTGAGCTCGTGTTCGACTCGTTTAAGCTCGATTAAGCTCGTTCGAGTTCGTTCGAACTCGTTTGTCTTATTTCTTTAATTTATATATAAATTATAAAGAAATTTTAAAATTATTATATATATATATATATTTTTTAAATCAGTATTTTATTTATTTATAAATTATAATTTTATATGTATATACAATATTTATAATAAATATATTATTTAAACGAACGTGAAAGTTCGGACTCGTTTGTTAACCAAACAAGCTTGTTTATATTGTTCCACTCAACTCGTTAATATTTGCGAACAAACTTTAACCGAGCCGAACCAAGCCAAGATCACGAACGACTCGGTTCGTTTAATAACTCTAATCATGGGACCATATTGCTCTGATCATGGGACTAAAATTCATTACAAATACTTATTTTGCCCCCATTGAAATGTCTTTTTTTTTTTCTTCATTCAAAATATACATCTTTGTTTACATTATAGATTTTTATTCATTTGATATTATTTATTTCTCAAAAAATATCACATCAAATATTAATTTTTTTTATTTTTTTAAAATTTTCAAAAATTCAAAATCCCCCAAAAAAACTTCAATCTAAACAAAATAATAACAATTAAATTTTAATTAATTTAACTTTTTACTTATAATTGTTTTAATAACTTGGTTTTAATTATATCAAATTAGAATTGACAAAAATGAGCATTGTAAAAAAAAAAAAGGTTAGAAATTGGGCTCGAGCATTATACGACAAATTCGAAATTGAGCTGAAAATTTTAAAAATAAAAATAATTTATATTTTAATATTTATACAAAATATTTCATAATTAAAAAAAAACTTTAATGGTGTGTTTAGTTTGATATACGAATTTTAAATTTGAGTATTGAATAATAAAAATTTTAATTTGAATAATTTTAAGTTTAATATAAATATGTATAAATTTAAAACTTTTAATATAAATTAATTTTTTTAAATAATATAAAAATTAATTTATTTTTAGGTGAAAAAAAAAAAGACAAATAAATCATAGTGGTGTGATTTATTGGGTTTGAATTTTAAATAATAAAATATTTATTTGATATAATATAAATATGTATTAATATGATATTTTAACTAAATATTATTTTTATAATAATATAAAAATAAAAATTATGAATTTAATTTAATAATTTGTTAAGAGAAAATAAATATGTGAATAACTCTAATGCTATATTTGGATGGAGATTTAAAATTCGTTTGCTCAAACTTTTATTTTGGCATGATGTTTAATATATATATTTTATTTTCACAAAATTCAATATTTAATATAATATGTTTTTTATATTACCGATATAATTATCTATACTAAAAAAAAAAAATCTTTTAAATCAAATCACTAAACAATAAACCCTAAATTTTGAGTTAGAGGTTTGAATAATAAAATTCTTTTAAGATGGATAATTATTTGAGTTTATATAAATAAATATTAATGTGATATTTTGATCATAAAATTAATGTTTAATATAATATAAAATAAAAATAAAAATTGAATTTGATTTTATATTTTATGAAAAATAAAATCAAATTATGAGTGTTTTTGGTGGTGGATTTTGATTTTGATAGAAAAATAAAATTAATTTAAAAATTATTTATGTAAATATTTATTGACATAAAATTTTGATTAAAAAATTAAATTTTAATATAATATAAAAATTAAAAATATAAATTTGATTTGATATATTTAAAAAGAAAAATATCGTTGAAGAAATTCTAACATTGTATTTTATTTGACGTTACATAAATGAATATTAATATGAAAATTTAAATATAAAACTGATTTTTAATATGGTATAAAAAAAAATAGAAATTTAATATCATATTTAAAATAAAAAAAATTAATAGTAAAAGCTCTTTTGAAAAAAAATCCAACTAAACACAAAAAAAAATTAATTTATATTTTAAATAATTAGATGATAATTTATAACAAATAATCTAAAATTAGAATTTTATTTTTAAACTTTTAGTATTGTTACAAATAATTTTATCAATTTTTTATTTAAATACAAAAATTATTTATATTAAAATTAATTATTATTTATTTCACTGGTAAAATATTAAGTAAATAATATTATCTTAATTTATTATAATGATTACATCACCTAAATTTAAAATAATTAATTTTTTAATATATATATTTTTAATAATCATCTATTTTTGGATTTTTTTTATTAACTAGAATTGTGTTTCTCCTGAACGAGAAACTTCACAAATACTTCTTACATCTCAACATCTTTCATTCAATTTCAAATATATTTTTTTTTTTTTTCTGTTTTACAACCAAATGATTTTTTTATTTGTAGTAAATTTATTTATTTTAAATATATCTAAAAATATAAATAAGTTAATTAAATTTATAATTTTTTTAACGTAGGAAAGATTCGAAATTATTATATTTTTATTTTTTTCAATAAATAATTATCTTTATCTGATTTAAAACTTTGTATTTTTATTAAACTAATTAAGTTAATTATATATAAATAAATAAATATTTGTATTTATATTATATAGATTTTTTTATCTACATAATGATATTATATTATATTATATTTTTTTTATTAAAATATAATATTAAATATATTTTAAAACATCTTCTAAATTTCTTCTAATAATATATATTAATTTATATTTTAAAAATATTAACAATACTATCTATATAAAAAATAATAAAATAATATCATAATTTATTATTAACAATTTATTGATCTATATTACCTTAGTTTACTTTAAAAGTTTAAATTTAGTTTTTGCGTATTAATATTCGAATATTAATTTTTTATATCAAAATATAGTTAAATAAAAAAAAATTATTAATATCTTATAATATAAATATAATAACATTTATATAAAAAGTATACAAATATAAATATATTTTTACTATTAAGTACAATAATACTAAAATAAATAAAAACCTATTAAATTGACAAAAAGAAACTACTTAAAATACTGTATTCCTAACTAAAGTAGTTTTCACTGATAGCGGCTGCGGATTCTAGAGCTGGCAAAAACTGATCCGACACGACAATCCGACACGAAATAATTGAGTTTGAGTCAAATATTTCAACCCGATTATGTATACGGGTTGACACGAACCCGACACGATAATAAACGGGTTGGGTTAGGGTTGAGACTCTCAACTCGAACCCGACACGACAACCCGATTATAATATATTAATATTGATTAATATATTTATTATATATGTAAAATAATCATAATTTATTAATTTTTTCATAAATTAATTTAAACTAAGTTCAATTTTAAATAATTCAACCTAATTTACGCTCAAACCAATAAAAATTAACACAACACAACAAAAAATTATTTAATTTGAATTAAGAAATTCGATTTAATTACGTATACGGGTCAACCCGAGTGAACCCGAACCCGACAAAATAATAAACGAGTCAACACGAACCCGACACGATAATAAATGAGTTGGGTTAATATTGAATAATTTAACTCATTTAAAGTATTCAACTCGACACGAACTCAATACGAATCGACCAATTGCGAGCTCTAACTGATTCCCACGTTATAAAAAAAATAAAAAATAAAAATAAATCTTCCGAGGTACGAGGGGAGCACAATTTATATTACGTGGTGAAAGCTTTAGGGTTTACGTGGTAAAGCAACCTTCATACAGCCACGTTCCTACCGTAGTAAATGCTCTCTCCTTTTGCCCCTTTAAGTTGCATGTGAAGTTTTAAATATTATATAATTAACAAATAATTAAATTAATTAATAATTAAAAAAATATATTATTAAAAATAGTTACCTATCTCAATACAATAATTTTATTTATTATTATTTTTTTAGTTTCAAAAACAATATTTTTATATCTATAAATAATTATATCATCGTAAAATTATCTTTTTTTTTTCTCACTATTATTACACAATTATCACTATTTTTTACATTAATATACTTATAAGGATAAAAATGTCATTTATCTATACTTTTTACCAATTAAAAATATAATATTCCCTCCGTCTCTTAACAATTTATCCATTTTTTCATTTTGGTCCGTCCCATGACAAGTATTCATTTTTTTTTAAGTAATTGTACTATCTAACTAACATTACAAATACCCTTCCAATTTACAATATATTACACAAATGTTATTACATTTATATCATACAATACTAATAGGATTAATTTAGTCTTTTTATTTTTATTTATATTTTATCCAAATATAATACTAATATTTCTAAAACTCCAGGCAAAAAACAAATGAACATATAGATATGGGACAGGAGGGAGTATCAATATTTCTTAAATCTCATGTAAAACACAATAAAATTATACTTTTGAGATGGATGGAGTGTAATGTATTCCCTCCGTCCCATATTGTATGTAAATACGAAAATTTATGATAAATATAATTACTAGAAAATTAAATATATATTAGTAAAATAATTATTTTATAATATAAATCATTATAAATTAAGATTAGATAATTAATTAATTTAACTAAAATTAAAAAATAAAAATAAATTAAAAAAATTTAAAATGAAATTAAAGTATATAATCAATTTTTTAAAAAATAAAAGTCACGTAACATGCGGGACAGACAGAAACGACGATGAAAACATAGTAGATAGGACGAAGGGAGTAATAAAAATAATTATAAATTAAAATTAAAATAATTAAGTAATTTAATTAAAATTTTAAAAATATTATAGATTATATAGTATATAATTTTTTTGAAAAAAAAAAATTATTATAATATACATACATTTATAAATACATGTAAGAGGGGAAATTAGCAGATCCCATGCCCTTTTTAGTCTTCCTCATTCATATGTAATTATTGTTTGCTACCGTCCTACAACCACTACAGACTGCAGCCATGGAGTTACTCAGCTCCGCCGTCTACGGCGCCGTTCTCTTCCTCCTCCTCCTCTGCTCCGCCATTTTCCTGAGGCCCAAGAAGTACAAACTCCCGCCGCTAGCCGGCGGCGGCCGCCCCATCATGGGCCATCTCCACCTCTTGGCCAACTCGCCCACCGGCGAGCCACCGCACGCCCGTCTGCAAGCCCTGTCGCACAAACACGGCCCGATTTTCACCATCAATCTCGGCCTCCGCCGCGCCGTGGTGGTGAGCAGCCGGCAAATAACCAAAGAGCTCTTCACCACCCACGACACGGCCGTGTCGTCCCGCACAAGAACCACAGCGCTCCGACACTTGACCCACAACTTCGCCATCTTCGCCTTCACCCCCTACGGCCCCTACTGGCGCCACCTCCGCAAGCTCACCAGCGCCGAGCTCTTCTCCGGCCGCCGCCTCGAGCTGATGAAACACGTCCGTGTTGATGGAGTCGCTGAGTTCATCCGCCAACTCTACTCCCACTGGAAGGACAACAAGGCCGAGTCCGGGACCACCTTGGTGGACCTCAAATTGTATTTCCTGAACCTTAATTTCGACCTCGTCGCCAGGATGGTGACGGGGAAAAGTATCTTCGGACAAGAAGAAGGCCTCGATAAACTTCTCCGGTGCCGGGAAGTCGTGTCGGAGTTCTTCGACCAAGCCGGCAGATTCGTCGCCTCCGACGCCGTCCCATGGCTGAGCTGGCTCGACCTCGGCGGCCACGAGAAACGCATGAAGGGAATCGCCAAAGAATTCGACGAAATCGTCGGAGCCTGGCTGTCGGAGCACCGCCGGAAGAAAAACAACCCGTCGCAGGAGGATTTCCTCGATGTAATGATGGCGTTATCCGGACAAGGTAATCTAAACCAGTTCCAAGGCGAATACGACCTCGATACCATCATCAAATCCACCTGCCAGGCAAGTCAAAATCGAAAAAACCCTGAAATCAATTCCACTTCTAGCAAATTTCCAACAATTAATTTTGCAGGCCGTGATCCTTGGGGGTTCCGACACAACATCATCCGTACTGACATGGGCGATCGCCCTCCTCCTAAACCACCGCGGCGCCCTAACCAAGGCTCAGGAAGAACTCGACAAGCACGTCGGAAGAGAGCGGCGCGTGGCCGAATCGGACATCCCAAACCTCGTATACCTCCGCGCCATCATTAAGGAGACGCTGAGGCTCTACTCAGTCCGTCTAAGCCTGCCGCGAGAAGTAACCGAAGACATAAATCTCTCCGGTGGCTACCACATCCCGAAAGGCACGTGGCTGGTGGTCAACATGTGGCAGATCCACAGAGATCCCGAGGTCTGGTCAGACAACGCGCTGGAGTTCGAACCGGACCGGTTCATGACAACCCATAAAGACATTGCAGTAAACGGACCGGACTTCAAGCTGTTCCCTTTCGGGATGGGCCGGCGGGTCTGCCCCGGTCTGAACCTCGCCATGCAAATGCTGCACCTGGTGCTGGCGAACCTGCTGCACGCTTTTGACATGACCACGGTCAACGGTCAGCCGATGGACCTGACCGAAACGGAAGGGCTAACCAACGCGAAAGCTAAGCCGTTGGATGCCCTAATTGCGCCGAGGCTTCCACTTAGTCTTTATTAGGGATCTCCATCTCCGTCCTGCGAAGTTATTCAGCACTTATTACCACCACCCACGTGATTCTTATCGTAATTAATGCCTTCCTCAATTCCGTCCTTGAATCTTGCAAAGGTAAACTATTACCCACTTGTCGTTTGTAATAAATAAATGGTTTTACTATTGAAATGCAGTGCTTGGTTTAGGAATATTTTGTTATTATTATTTTAATAATTCAATTTCAATTATTGGGATGTACTCCCTCCCGCCACATTTTATACTATTTTTATTTTTATTTGTCCTTTAATCATTGACATATTTTTATTTTTGATAAAAATTATTAAACTAAAATATATTTAACAAATACAAATTAATTTAATTAACTATATAACATACAAAATCATAAATAATTTAAGATCTACTCAAAACTCTTTTATTTTTACATCTCTTTTCAAAAAATAAAAATTTTATTTATATTTAAAACTACACATTTTTTTATAAAATTGATTTATATTAATTATAAATAAACAAAAATATTTTTTTATTCACTTGTATTATAGAATATTTTATTCTCTACAAAATGATATTCATATTGCATAATTGCTATATAATTTTTAAATATTTAAATATATATTTTAATTTTTTTAATCATATATATATTAAATTTACTTTAAAACTATAAATATTATTAATTATACAAAAGATAATATAATAATATCATAACTAATTTAATATTATCACTTTAAATACCGTGTTCCTAATCAAATGGTTCAATTTGGGACGGAGGGAGTATTATTTTATTGATGAGTGAAGATGTATAAAAGATTTTAATAATTTTTTTAAAAAAATTATTTTTATGTACAATGGTATGTTTATTTTAAGGATATCTTTATGTTAATTAATAATTATTTTTAGTAAAATATAGAAAATATATACTTTTAAATGAGATAAATAAAAATAATAAAAAAAAAATTGAGTTTAAACAAAGACAAAAATGATAAAAAGATAATTTGAGTTGAGTTCGAAAAAGAATATTATTTTGATAAATATTATATTTAAAAAATATTCAAGTAGATAAAAAAATAATAATAATAAAAAAAACATACATACATTACACATTTATAAAAATATTAAGAAAGAGAATATTGATTGGTTTTTATACTCTCCTTTTCTATATAGTCTTTCCATGTCAATACAATAGTCTTCTTTATCATTTTTGTTCGTCTCAAAACAATAGTCTCATTTCTATAAATACTCGTATTATCATAAAATTATCCTTACTTTATTATTATTACACAAATATTTCACATTTTACACTAATATATTTACAAGAGTAAAAAAATCTTTTACTCATCATTTTTTACCAACTATTAATATAATAATAATATTCCTTAAATTTCGTGTTCAATCCAATTAAGACCATAGTTTTGAGACGGAGAAGTATATGAAAAAAATATACTATAAGCTTTCATTTAACTGAAAGTATTTATTTTACTATTTTTTTCAATTCTATTCAAAATATTTATTTTTTAATTACAATAAAAGTAATTACATATTAAATACTAATATAATATTTAATTTTTATATAAATCACAAATATATAATTACACGTACAATTAATTTATATATTAAAGAACTCTATAATCATGACCAAGTGATGTAAGAGTGGACTCGTAATTAAAATTTTGAATTAAAATAATTTTTGACATAATATAAATCAATAATGATGTAATACTGTAAATATTAAATTATTTTTTAATTAATATAAAAAAAATTATATATTTAATTTGATATTTAAAAAAAAAATTATGAAGATGAAAAAAAAACCAACCAAATGGAAACAGTGTGTGTGTCTGTTGTATTTGTATTTTTTCTTTAAATAGTTATTTGATTTAAAATTTGAAGAGATAAAATATTAAATTTGTTCATTTTCCGATAAATTGATATTTTGTATGTGCTATAAGGAATTGTGTTGATAATATAAAAATAATATTCTATATTGAATAATTAATTTTTTATGAATGAATAATATATATTATATCAATGTGTGTGTTTATATATATATATTATTAATAATATTTATAGAGAATTGTACCATTGAAAAATTATGAGTGACAGACAGATTGTATTTTTATTAACAAATAAGAAGAATAAATAGTAAAACAAAAAAAAGTTGTAAAGAGAGCAGTGTTCGTTCGTAGGATTTTGTCAAAATTCTACTATTCATCCAAAAATTTTCCCCAAAAACATCAAATCAAACACCTATTTTTCATTTTTATATTATACTAAAAATCAAATTTACATTAAAAACATCACATCAACACCTATTTATATCACATCATACAATTATTTAAATTCAAAATTTTTACTATTCAAATTCCAATCCAAAATCCAAACCCCCAAACAAACACACCCTAAAGTAACATTTGTAGTATAACATAAGGGCGTCTTTACCGTGATCTTTTGAATAAAAAGTTAAATAAAAAAAATTAATATTTAATATTTTTGTTTATACATATATATATATATATATAGAGTCCGATACGATGTCTAAATCATACAGAAATAGACGTTTTAAGAATAAATAATAATAATTAAAAAAAATACTAGGTTGTAATTTGGAATACAGCATGAATCAGGTGCCTTCGCTATGCTTAACTTAATTATAATTAAGTGATTAATTTTCTAAGCATTCAGTCACCTTTGGAATAAATAATTATTTACTAATTAAAAATGTGGTAGTTGAAGGAATCTTCAATCCTGGAGACTTAAATTAATAAAATAATTTTGATAAATATAATATTTTATGCCTGTACGCATATCTATGCATAGTTAGCAAATCTTCTAATAACCGAGGGGCACAATAGTAAATGTATGAATCCCTGTGTTCTTTATCATAAAAAAAAAAAAAAAAAAGAAAAAAAAGTTGAAAATCAGATAAGAAAAATTAATAGATAAAAATCTATTTTTTTTAAAATATAAATTCAAATATTTTAAAATTGATTACTCGATGACTAGAAATGCTGCTACGGGTTGAGAAAAATATCTTGGAGTAAGGAAATTTTTGTTTATCAGCCTGATCCAAAGCCTATTATTATATTTATTCTTTTGACATATTCTGACAAACGCAAAATGAATACCATCTTTTATTGCGCAGAATGGGCTGGTGGTGTGGGAGTTGCACGTGTGATCGTAAGATCATGGGTTAAAACCCCCGACGTTTCAAGTCACCTGTAACACATAGTTCGCCTAGTGTGACTTGCCTGTCGGGCCTAGTTTGCAGGAAATTAGGTTCGACCGAAAATTTACCCGGTGTGCACTTTCGGGTAGCGACTGCGACCTTAGGACTGTGAGATGGCTTAGAAAAAAAATATGAATCCGAAAATATCTAGTCCAAAATATTTATTGTGGGTCGATTTATAAAATACAAAATAGTGAACGGCCGATCTGTCATTAAACAAATAAAAAGTTTCAACATTCAATCTACTATATCATTGAAAAAAGTATGGCTCTACCAAACAAATTTTATCACAGAGTGTGATGATTGAAAAGTTGCCCTTGAGTTAGAACAACTTTAAGCACAAGTTAAAGTAAGAATTAAAGCGAGTAAGACTTGAGCATCTAATTGTCCGAGTATGTTTTCCCATAAGAGCAAAGGTAGTCCAAAACTAATAGTAACGACTTTAATTGTAGTAATACAAGACATTTGTCAAAGGACAATAGACTTCCGAAAAAGAAAAGGTGAATCCAAGTTTCCAACTAGTCAAGACATCCCATAGGACTGATCAAGGTCTCAACACTAATAATCTTATTGCCGTGGTGTAGGAGACTAATCACGTTGATAGTCTGAGGGCATGGTTCAGCAATACCGATGCCACTTGTTATGCTTGTTCTGACAACGCAAATTCTTTTACATATAAGGAGACCGAAGTAAGAAAGTTATATATTGACAACTATGCATCTTCGGAGGTCAAACGAGTAGAAACAATAGTGCTAAAATGACTATTGAAAAAGAACTGACTTTGAAGGACTATTAGACATGGTTTCAAATAATTTTCATAGCGGATACATTTATATTATAAATAAATAAGATGTTCCTAATTAAAAGTTATATTTTCAATGAATTGTCCACATCTAATATAATAGCTGAACGCCGAGCGCCTAATATTAATAATAATATTTCTTCTTCTTCGAATTTGATTTAGTATTTTATTTATAACATTATAGATTATAATATGTTGATCTAAAAGTTAAAAAATGTTTAGTAAATAAATTTACTAAATATGAAAGAAGTGAACATTCAAAAGACAATGTAAATTTTATGTAGAAACAAAATTGGTTAAATTATCATTTTTTTTTGTTGAAAGAAACACAAAACTATTCAAGTAATTTACACTAATGTGTGATTTATAATGTATGCGAACTTGATGTTGCAAAAAGTATTTTATTATCTTTATAGATGATTGCACGATCTATTACTATTTTTACATACTAAGGAAAAAATAAGAATTGAAGTCTTTAAGAATTTCAAAAATCATGTGAAAAATCAAATAGATTGTAAAATTAAATTAGTTCGAAATAATTGAGATGGGGAATATATAGATATGTATATGTATATACATATGATATCTTGATTTTGTATGTATTAAGTACTATATATATATGTGCAAATAATATTGGTATAAAATATAATTAAATTGATGTTTTTTTTTAAAAAAAAAAAATTTGAATAAAAATTAATTAAAAAAATTTAAAAATAAGAAAAATCTATTAATTTCATTAAAAAGAAAAAAAAAACAAATAAAAAGATGAGGAAGAATAAAAAAAAAAAACGAGAGAAAAAAAAAAGGATATACAATGTAGCCGCATAAAACAAAAATACTGACATGATAAAATAAAATAATAATGTCCCCTTGCTTCTATAACAATTATTGAATTAATAATTAAATATTTAAATTTGGTAATTTTAAACTTTATATGTATAAATAGTCCAATACTATGTTCAAATACTTTTCGAAGAATCCAAAATTTATATTTATACATATCCAATAATTGTGAAATATATTTATGCATAATAGAGGGCCATAAAAGTAAACTTCAACCATTTAATATTCTTGGGTGTGCTCGGTTGTAGGATTTTATCAAAATTCTACTATTCATCCAAAATTTTCCCCCAAAAAATATCAAATCAAACATCTATTTTTAATTTTTTATATTATACTAAAAATCAATTTTACATTCAAAACATCACATCAACA